TGCAAATATTTTTAATTTTATATTAATCAAGATTACACACCATATTACTTATTTCCACTTCAATTCTTACCATCAGTTCTAGTAGAATTTAAAAATATGGATAATAGTATCAGCCGCTTCAAAAACAACAGTTTGTTTAGAAATAAATTATGCAGTTAATGTCATAAAATTCAAATAAATATCAAACAAAAATTCTCAGTTTTAGACAATTTGATTTAAACGAAATAAAGTAGCAGATGATAAAATGCCGAAGGTAAAAATTTACTCTTACAAAAAACTTACTCTTAAATATTTTAAAAAAAAAAAAAAAAGATACGAGGGAAATTTAAAAAAAATAGTTAAAATTTGAATAATCATCTATAATTTAAAAAAAAAGCCTTTCATATAGTATTAATAAATATTTATTACGCATCATTGAGGGAAAAAATGTCATATAATTAATTCTCCGTAAAATTTTACTTGAAGTTTAAGGTTAAAAATAGCTGTGGCAATTCAGTGTAACAAAATTCCATAGACCACATTTGGCGTTATTATCGCTCAAAAAAAAGGTGCCAAATTTCAAAACGCGAAATTATGTAAATTCGTGTATATCTTAGAAAATTTTGAATAAAAATGTCTAATTTTTTGCAGATATGCTTAAAAATACACTTAGTTTAAGATGATGGTAAAATTTTATAGGTTATAATTCAAAATTTTTTTCGAAAAATCTATAGAAATTATTTAAAAAAAATAGAAATTTAAAAAATAAAACACAAAAAATGGGTAAATTTTATTTGGAATGAACCAAAATTTCGAAATGTGAGAGAAAAAATCAAAAAGTTTAATAAAAAAAGAGATATTAATAAATATTTGCAAATTCAATTAACATTGAGAAGCTAAAATTTTGGGAGCTAATATTTTAAAAAAATATTCGTACGATTTTTACAAAACTTGGTATTCTGGCATAATTTGAGTCGTAGAATCGAAATATGTAAAAAAATTGGTATGTTATTTCAGAAAAAGTCCGATTTTGTGTCAAAATACCTATGTTAGAATAGTGCTATATATAAATCTAATATATATCCTAAGTCTCGCTTTCGAGACATGAAAAACACAGTTTGAATTTTGTCAATCGGCCCAGTAGAATGGGAGATATAGCACTGTCCCATTTTTTTTTTTGAGCAGTGTACCTTATAGGCCGAAGCATTTTCCCTAGTGATATCCAAGTTTTGAAGAATACTCTAGGAGGTGATCCCAGAGTCTCTTATGCCTCTTCCCCTTTCCCCAGCCCCTTAGAAGGATTTTCATCTCAACAGTATTTTAAGTGCCTCCATGCCACTTGAGACACTATGCCTTCTCCGGGATTCGAACCTAAGCCCAACCTGGGATTGGTGGCATGGAAGCTAGACATGACTATGGCAGGTGTTCATTGTTCTACCATTAGAATGACTGAATGGAGATGCTAAACACAAACTAAAAAATTAACACTAATCAAGCATTGCATGAATTGGGTTTGAGTACATTCCTATTTTTGTAGTGGTTTGGATTGAATTCTTTAGACTAAGGTAATGTGCACAACACACTTTTCTCCATAATTTTCTGGTAATGTGCACAACACACTTTTCTCGATAATTTTCTGGTAATGTGCACAACACACTTTTCTCGATAATTTTCTCCAAAAAATTACCTCTAAAATTGAGGTGCATCTTATACTAGTAGTCACTTAGTAGTCATTTGAAAATTCTGTGAAACAGAAATTGAGACAGGGAAAATAGAGAGCTTGCTGTTATTCTGGGAGGACTTACTTCACAATTGCAACCTCTTGAGTCTCAATAAACCATTTAAAGTATAAATGAGAGAGGAATCAAACAAATGGATGATGGATGAAACCCAACATGAATTCTTTAAAACGGCTTACAATCAAACCAGTGTGTCAATGCATAAAACAGTTGTGGTCTAGAGTGAGAGAAGATACTATTGTTAAATCTTTCAAGAACTGCGGCATTAGTAGAGCTCTTGATGGCAGTGAAAACCATTTTATATATGAAGAGGACAACAATAAAGAGGAAGAAGAAAGTTCAGATAATGATTTTCAAGGATTTTAAAGGTCAGTCTGGTTTTACAAGCTAAGAATTTTTGTTTTAGTCTGGTTTTGCAATCTAATAATATTAACGGTAAAAATGTTATTTTTTGAAAAAAAAATTTGCTTAAAAATTAAGGTCATAGTCCATAAAATACGATATAAAAAGAATAAAAAAATTTTTATTACATAAATGTTTAAATCTATCTCTATACAACACTGAAAATAGTCTTCACTTTCACATTTTCATACCCATTAACTAAAAATAAAAAATACACAAAAAGCAAGGAGCACAGTAATATGGAACCCTGCACTGAAATAGCTTGAATTTGATCGATATATAAGTGAATAATATATAAAGTTTGGTAGATCAATAACTTTATTGAGTCAATTTATGTGTGTGATTATGGCAAAGCCTCGAGGGCTATCTGCCTAAGGAGAAGGATGCCTTTGTGGAGGACTTTCTAAAGGAAACTGGCTTCTATACATGTTACACATGGGGAAAACCATGAAAACGCCCATGCAGCCAGCCCATCAATTTATGACTCAATGCTTTATGAGATAATGTCAATCACCGTTCTGCATTGCCTTACAAGTTACTTGGAATGGACCATTTAATTTCTGCAAAGCTTAATAGGGCTATATAACCATGATATATCCATAATTTGATCAACAGAGAAGGATCTTCACATAAATGCAAATGATAGCTGCAGTTAAAGAATATAATTTACATGAATCATTAAAATTAAAGGATAATTTGAGGAAATATGTTTCAATTATTTATGCAAATTCTTTGTAACTCAATCTCAAACTGGGCTTTCTCACGTATGAGTTAAGCAAATTAGGCAACATATGCTGCGTAATGGATGCATACTAGAAGCATACTAGAATTCAGGTGTGTAGCATTGTTTGATGTTAACATGCTTTTTATGATCACTGCTAATTAGTTGTGAATCAATTAGTTGTGAATCAAAGGCATCACTAAAGTGAATGACAAAAGTGGTACTTAATTGGCAGCCTAGTAAAAGGACAAACATGGATGGAGGACCAAGATCTGAATATTTCTCAAAATGTCATTATTAAGAACTTGCAACTGCTTTTTAAACAGTGAATCAGTTAAAAGGCAGCCTGATCAAGACAGATACGAGCAAAAATTGCATCCAAAGGCCATTTTATGCCACTGTGAGCTCAAAGAAACCATGAAGAGACTGAAAGAATGGTTTTTGAACTTCAGTTTGTAACAGAACTTGAATCAATCTTTCTAGTACTGTACAAAGACCTTTACAATGTTGGAATTTATGCGAGAAAAATAATGCATATTTGTCAGATGTATGGCTAAGTAGTATTGTTACTTGCTGCTCAGAAACCACAGAAATAACATCCTAAAGACTGGCTACTCTAAAGGCCAAGCAAATGTTTTCTTCTACAGAGAAATCTGCTAGGGGGAATAATGGTTCCCGTCCAACTCATTTCATCTTCCAAATGATGACATGGATGATAATGCATGTCTGCATTCAGCATCTCTCGCATCAATTGAATGAATTGGAAATATTATTCTCCAGACGGGAATCCAACTGAGCATGTTTGGGATGTGTTAGGCCAGCAAGTTTTAACGCACCAAATACCCCTTAGCCTAAAGGATCTGAAAAGTGCACTTTCAGAAGAATCACATGCAGCTTTAAAAGACTTGTTTGATAAATTCTATGAAATCAACATATAAGATTTCTGTTTCTGGTAGAGGTGACTATGGCACCATATTACAGAAAGATTTGTTACAAAACCTAAAAGTTAACTTACCTATCATTTTTAGATTTCCATAAATCTGACTTACTATTCAATATTTTGAGATTAATCAACTAGTAAACCTGGTAATTTATATTGAAGCTTTTATACAATTTTGTAGATTTAAAAGTCTCCAAATTATCAACATTACTCCAAAATTATGATAAAAAATGAAAGATTCTTAAGGAAAATAACCAATAAAAAGAAAAATCTGCTAATTCATGAAAAGGTATTCCACTTTCTCATTTTGATAGATATAATGAAAGCATAAATTTGAGAATACCTATACAGAGAGCATTACTCTTTCTAGGAGATTCATATTTTATTTTAAAGTATGTTACTTGCTGACAAAAAGCCTGCGCAATTTTCAGTTCTGCTGCAGGTACTGTTGTTATCACTGCAACAAAATGTGGCTGCTGTCACTTGAATTAACAGATGCATCATAATGACTAACACTCTAGAAACCTAACACACAAAGGGCAGACCAAAACATTTCAGGCAAAATAAAACAAAATCAGAAACCTTATCTACTGAAAGTTCTGTGAGTTTACTGCAACTTTTGCTGGTAAGTGAACTATTCAGAACAGGTTTAAGTGTGTGCTTTTGAATGTGTGCTTTTTTACCCCTAGAAGGTTTCATGGTATGAAACATTTCAGTTTCTGTTGTTGGAATATTTACCATGCATACCTTTTATAACAATACAGCTCACATATCTCAGAAGTTTCTCTCCTATGTGACATAAATATAGGCCAGTTTCAGACATAGTCCACATTTCGTTTGTCATTCAATAAGTACTCCAACCTAATATAATACAGTAGCCTAGAGTAATTTACAACCCATTGCACAGAATATGACTGTACAAACTTTTAAAATGAAGTGAAAGTGAAATTTTTTCTAATGATGAAATTCTTTAGGAAATTATATTTGAATCTCAAACATGCTATGATATATTAGTCAGCAAATGGTATTCATATTTTAAATATTATAAAAACAATACTTTTAACAAGCCCCTCAACATTTCAAATGCACACTTTTAATAAAATTGAAAAAGGAAAAGTCAAGAACATTGAAAAAATCAGAGATATTCACAAAAATTTTAAAGAACATTGTTTGACTATAATGCTAATTCAATGTGGAAATGTATCAAAAACATACATACCTATTCCTTTACTGGGAGATCCTTTAACAGAACTACTTGTAACAGGTTCATCTTTAACTTTACCTTTTCTCTTAATTGGACTTAAAGAAGGTGCATTAGGTAAAGAAGGAAGTGCAGGACGATTACTCACGGAAATAGGATATTGTTCTTCTAAGACATGGGTAAATATGTTCAAAACCCTGTATGAAGGCAGATATTTCAATTATTACTTTTGTTTAATATTTCTAAGTTAAAAAAAACAACAACATAAAAAGAACATATTGATCGCAATTCAATAGCATATTCAAATTTTTATTAAAGATTAACAAAAATAATACAATGTCATATAAATGATTTTTCTTCTAAAAATCTAATAGCTAAAGAATTCCTTAGTGTTATTGTACTGCACTTACTACATGTTTTTTTCTCAAAGAAACATACAACTGTTATGCTGTTATATTCTAGAATTCAACGCTGATAAAAAATCATTTCAATACTTCACTTAAAAAATCACACCAACACATTATATTGTCATCCAAAAAGAATGTGCATGCAAAATTTGACCTTCATACCACCTCATATGGAAATAGTTTAATAATAAGCTTATAAAAAGGAAATACAGTAAGTGCTACTTAATCTGATTATATTTGTCCATGGTTATTTAATAATATCAACTGAATGAAAACATTTAAAGATGACGAAAAATATCCTTTCAAATAGCAACTGATTTTAACAAATTTAATATAAGCATAACTAGAAACATATTAAATAGGTACTTTCACAGCATTTTGATGAGGAGATTGAAAAAGTTTATGAACTGTTCATACCGTTTCTGAAATTTGTTTGACTGATACCATAGAAATTTGTTTGACTGACACCATACCCCTATTCTTGATACTTTGAAGGCATTCCTCATAGGAAGGGAATGTTTAATGCAAAATTAAAAATTAGGCTAAAAAGCAATCTCAGTTTGGCATTGATAATTGCAGAGCTTCCCCTCCCAGGGAAGAAAAAATATAAAATAAAAGTCTAGAATACAATTTTTCCTTCATAAGAAGTCTTTTTAATTTCATATTAATTATCTTTCTTCACTTCTGAGGTCATACTTTTGACTGGAGAACTTATTTTTTCTTTTTATTGATAGGGAATATTACAATCATTTGCTAATCGCAACTGCTTAGTTTGATAGAATTAAAAAAGAGCAACATCTTTATAGAATAAAATTGTTCATAAGCACAAAAATTATACAACAAATTTGTCACAAACAAAACTTATATTATATTCTTCTACTTGCCTCTTCTTCTTTAATGAACATAGGAAACTGCTGTAAAGGATAATAATTGCTTTTGACAATATTGCATTTCACATTATATATGCACATATATATGGTTTCATACAGCTGTGTAGATGCATCTATTTTAAAAACCTATATGGTTCTTCTTAAATTACGTGTTGTTGGCAACTAGAACTACAGAAGAGTATAGTGGCTATTCGCTGTTCTTACAGTTCCACTTGGCCATATTTAACCTGTGATAAAATTCTGAGTGTGCTAATAAATGATCTTTCTTCTTACATGACACATAACATAAGGGAGGCAGCCACCCTATGTGGCATGTTTTATGGGCAGTACATTTTCATCAGAAACTTAAGTAAAAAGGTTAGTTATTCAGATCATCAGAGCAGAATGTAGCACTGGGATTTTGTGGCTCATGGCAAAGCTCACTGTGATACCTGTTTAAGCAGATGGATGAATTCATTGAGAACAACGCTCCATATAGGACTCAGAAACTGGCTTAGATTTACATGGAGAAAGGAGCACTGGTTCATATTTCTGTTGCATATAAGGTAAACCAGGAAAACGTTAAAGCAGGCAACCCATTCTTTGAAACTTGAGCTGAGTTTGTAACTAATACTGTTTAATCTGCTTGGCAACTGGGAAAGTAAAGGCTAATGAGATGTGGAATCATTCATACAAAACTGAATTGAGGAGAGAATTACTTTTACAATTACTTTTACTTTTACAATTTTTAGAATTATTTTTTTTTTCAAAGAAATGACAATGAGATTTTAAAGTTTCTGTTCTTACTACACTTACTTCATCAAGACTTTGGAATGAAAAAAAATAGGAATTAAATTATGATTACAAAGAAAAAATAAGGAAGAATTTATCACTGAGAAAGAACTACTGCAGAATTTTATTCCTGTTATTACTTGGTAAGATGTAAGAGAGATCTGATAGGAGAATGGGTTTGAACATTTGCAATTTATTTAATAATACAATCTCTAGAATGCTGGTCAAATACTGAAACTCTACTGTGAATATTTCTCACAACTGCTGTGTAACAGTTGTGACAGAAATTTTTCTAAATGAAAATTGCTTAACAAGTATTTATAATCTAATACTGTCTACAGAATGCCAAGTGTAGCAATGAAACTAGCTTCTATAATGTTACCTACGATTTAGCAAGCATAAAAACAAGCAAAATAGCATTTAGTTAAATTAAAATTTTTATTATAGATTGTCTCTCTATTTCGGCTTTTATTGCATCCATTCACACATAAATTTGTTTAGCTTCAGATTTATCTAAAAATGGTCTTTTAATATAGTAGTAAGTATTTATCAGAAGATAGAAGAAAAAAGAAATATTAATTTTTATTATAGTTTGGACAGAATACTTTATTTACCTCTAGCAGACTCAAAATAATCTAATGCTACATACAATTTGCGTTCCTAGCTGTTTACAAAATCTACAATTTACTTACTCCATCGTATTACCATGTATTACACTTTACACCTAAAATGACTAAAAAGTAATTAAAATTTTTTTTTAAGTATTATATCTGTGTACCAAGAACTGACATTCAGAAAAAACATCCAGAAACAAATCTGCAACAGATGCTCAAAGAATCTGGTAGCCCATTCATAAAATAATCGAAATGGTAATAATATGAATAGAAGTTAGCAGTAACCCATGTCAAACTATGAAAATATACTTTTTATATAATAAAATTCTTAGCTACTAACTTCTGTTAAAACTGCAAAAATTAATAACCTTTTGTAAAATATTATTCTGTGTTAATGAAGTTACATTTTTGCTACAAATAAACAAATAATTTAACAGTTTTTAAAGATGCAGATGTGACAAAAGAATCAAGATACAACTATGTCAAGTATATTTATTCTAAAAAATTACACTAGTTCTAAACACTCAAAATGTAGCACTGATATTGTTGCAGCAAACATAATTTTCCAAGTCCTGATATAATTTAAATAGCTTCTTTTGAAATTCTTGTCAAGTAATTTAAGTTCTATTATATCAAATTTCAACACCTTAAGGATTATAAATAGCTATCATAAAAAGTCTATCAATAAGCAATAACTTATAAGACGATATTTAATCTTGTTGAAAAATAACTAGCACAATGAGAAAATCTTCACTTACCTCATTAAATGCAAAAATAATTTTTCAACTAAAGGGAACACATATGCATCTTGCTTTAGTTCTTGGTAATTACTATTATGAAATTCTACTAAAAATTTATACCACAAACCTGAAAAGAAACAAAGATTTCAAAACAAAATTAATTTACCTTCATAACCTCACATAACACAGCAGAATTCCAATAATTGGTGAACACCTGAACAAACAAACTAAAAACTAGAGGTGAAGGCAAATTTATAGGCAACTTTTATTATAAATATATGGAAATAAATTTTCTAACAGAAGCACACAGCATTTATAGTTTAGATTGATTGAAAATGAAAATTTATTTTTATTAATAAAGTTCTTTAGCTTTTTCTACATGTGTAGTGGCACTTTCTTTTGTTGATATTATAGTTATACAAAGATCGGAATCTGCAAATGTTTCACTTTTGCTAAATCTCTATTTCTGAGTATATATATTCCACTATTTTTTAAATTAATTTTGATATTTATTCCCTCTTTTTCATCATCATTAGTCCTCCATCAGTTCAAACTTTAAATGCATTACTGCTAAGCCTTTCTGCAGCTGGTTCTTTACAATCTGCACAAAGGGAATAGAAATATATGCTTATGAATAGTATTTACTGATATTCTCCTGGCATGCAAAATGGAAAAAGGGCAAAAGAAAGGAGGCTAAAAGACAAAAGAATTTTTTAAATAATTCTAAAATTTCAGTTCTAGTATTTACAGCTGCTTGTACATCATATGACCTGAACATAATGACAGAAAAAGCTTAGGGATTCATTTTAGAGGAAACTTCACCAATAAGAAATTAAAAAAGTGTATTTTATTCATTTTTGCTATCTTAAGTATAAAAATTATTTTGAGAAAAATTTTGCTGGTGAACATGCAATTTCAATAACTGCAATAACTTTACTGCATTTTTATAAAACAGTTCTTTTATTCTCCAAAACATTTCCCTATCATTTATCACTTTTTCTACACTATGATTTCCCCTTGCACTCACATTACTTCTATTTTGGTTTGAAACTGAATGTGAATGTATGTGCCTTTCCTTATTTTCTCACTTTTTACTTTTCATGCTTGATAAAACTGAAAAATTTTGTTCAAAAGTTTCTCGAAAAAAAAAAAAAAAAAAAAAGGTTTGTAAATGACCACTGACTTTGTGGAAACTGATACTTCTTATTGAAACTGAATGTTACACTGCAGATTTTTCAGGTTATGCAAAAACAGTAGTTACACTCTTTTTCAAAAAAATTGAAGCACCAAGAATGACTTTCGCGATCGTGACGAAATTTGGTATCTAAAAACATCTTGAGCAAACATGCAAATGATCAAAGTTTCTAGCCAAATGAACAGGAATTGCGATCATAGCATGCATTTCCAGTTCGCAATTCACAAAGTATAAAACCAGTAACAGAGGCGGAAAATTTATCCCTTTTTGTTGCTACCATTGTAATTCCGTAAAGAAGACACTAAAGATGCCATTAGGATGATATCGAAAACCTTACAGACAACTAAATGACTTCAAACGTAATTGCATTGTAGGGTTGCGTGAAGCTGGGTGGTCATACCGAACAATAGGCTGCCACCTGCAGCATACAGACACTGCTGTGCAAAGATGTTGGCAGCAATGGTTGCTACAAGGAAATTGCCGATGAAATGAAGGCTCTGAAAGGCCAAGGACCCCAAATGCGAGACAAGATAGAACTGCCCCAAAGGTGTCATTGTTGACTATTCAACACACTACAGCCATGTCTATACCTCCTGTGGTACCATCTCACGGTGATTGTCTGAGGTGGGTTTATGCTCACAGAGGCCTTTAAGACATTTGCCTTTGACCCCACAACATCGGCAGAGTCATCTGGAGTGATGTCACAGCCGATCATCATGGCTGCCATCAGAGTGGCATTGTGTAGTGTTCAGCGATGAATCCCGATTCACTCTTGAAGCAGATGACCATGTTTGTGTCTGGAGAGGATGGGGCAGCGGTCCAAATCAGCCTTTATTTTACAAAGGCATACAGCCATAAACCCTGGTGTGATGGTGTGGGGAGCTATTTCTTATGACAGCATGTCATCTTTGGTCATCCTAGGTTGAGCTGTTAAGCTCAAAGATATGTTGATACGATGCTACAGCCGGTTGCATTACCCTTCATGGCACATCATCCTGGGGCCATTTTCCAACAAGATAATGCCAGGCCACATACTGCTCGCATATCTCTGGACTGTCTCCGTGTGGTTGATACTCTCCCTTGGTCAGCAAGGTCACCAGAAATTTCATCAATGAGGCATGTCTGGGACATAGTAGGCCACCAGATTCGGGTACCACAAAATATCGCAGATCTGGGGCAACAACTGATGAATGCCTGGCAGAATGTGTCGCAGGATGACATTAGGAACCTCTACCACTCCTTGCCTCGAAGAATTTAAGCATGCATTGCCGCCAGGGGCGGTTCGACCAACTACTAATTTGAGCACTCAATGGGTGATTGTGAGCCGTGAACAGGTAAGGAGGTAAGGTATTGTGAGGTAAGGAGACTGCTTAGGATATCAATCTGCTCTTGAGAAATGGAGGGCTGACCTCTGCATTGCAAATCTGCAGTCTCATTCCGAACTGAACGAAATGCTTGAACCCATCGTGCTACTGTCCTATATGGTAAAGCATTTGTGCCACAGGTTTCCACTAAACCTCTATAGCATTCTGTTGCATTTTTATCATGGGCAACCTCGATTTTAAGCCACAATTACTGATCACCTTTCGAAAACATGCTTTAGAGCACTGCAAACAAAACTCCTCACTTTAACGTCATACAACAATTACCCTTCTAAGCAGATCGACTGTTTTTTGCACATCAACAACAGCGCCACCTCACCACTCCTATATCCTATTTGCCCATACCCGCCCTTCTGTGAGTTTCAAGGTTAAGTTGCCACTATTTAATTTACAACCCCCATAGATAGATTATCTCCAAAGAATTATAATAGAAGTTGTTTTCTTTACTGAGTATTGAGATTAGAGTATAAAAATCGAGATTTAAAAATGTCTTTTATGCAGACATTTTGCAGCTAAAGGAAGAAAGAAATCTGTTTGATGATATCAAAAAATAAATTCAAGCATTTTATACTTATTTAGCAGCATACGTAAGTAAAGAATATATGCACTAAATTTCGTGATGGTATATCATATTACTGCTACAATTACACAATTATGCCAGAGAAAATTGCCTGAAATTTGAACATATTATTAAATAATAATAAATAAATTTAGAAGGAAGAACATACATTAAATGATAGGAATAACATTAAAATAAAGTTAATTAGTTAAGAATTACAAAAAATCGACGGTATTTTGGAGAATATAGATAAAGGGTTAGCCTATATAACTGATTTTTTTATTTTACTGCAAAATGACAAATAAGGCATTTAAGAAGCAAGAAAAGGTGTAAAAGATTTTGTTTTATACAAGAATGAGGGGAATACACTTTCGTTCAACAAGCACTGCATATGTGCATGCGAATCTCTGGATTCTTGAGATTACTGGAACCAAATATGCTAGAAACTTGCTTTGCCTTTCTAAAAGACAATCTGATTGGCGCTTCAAAAATTGGCTCTGCACCAACTGTAAGAAAGCTGCTACCGCGATACATGATTTGCCAAGAAAGTGAACCCTGGCGTAAAAATTTTTTGGAATTGCAGTATGAAATTTCCAGACTTTTCCAGATTTTGACTAAAATATTTAAATTCCCTGACATTTTTGGTCAATTTCTGAATTCTTCGACTTTTGCCGATTTTCCAGGTAGCGTGGCAACCCTGTTATTAGCAGCATTATTATGTTATTTCATGCAATTTCCCCCCAAAAAAACAGTATATCAGATCCGCCTGAGCATTTAAGAGAAAATATTTTAGATTGAATGACTTCTGAAGATGTTACTCCCATTACATCAAAACTGAGAAATGATGAAATGTTTCAGTACATTAAACACAGTAATTTAAATATAAATACAATATGATACACAATAGAAGCCATTCTGTTTAGTTTTTTGACATGATATATATTCTGCAATTTCAAAAGCCACACATTTCACTCCTCACTTTTCTGCTTTCTTGATTATAAAGAAAGAAATCATTTAATAAATTATAATTGCTTTTAAATATGTGGTATCCCACTGTTTCAAAATTTAGCCAGCATATTTATAACAATCTAGATAGCGATTAAGTGCCTGGTCAGATGTTTTTCCCTTTAACTCCGATTTCGATGTTTAGCTTTACGGTTTAGATGTTTAGATAGATTGATGGAATAAACCACACTTCATTTTGACAACACATAACTGATTAAAGTGCTACGAATTTTTGGTTTTGCTTGATGCTTTTGTTTCAGAATGAAATTTTGTAATGTCAAGTATTTTAGAAAAGCATATTAATTGTTAAGACACAATAACACGCCGAATAAATTGTTGTTTATATATATTAATTGTTGTTTAAAAAAATTAATTGTTGTTTAAAAATAAGATATAATTTGATAATTTGAATATTAATTGTTGTTTAAAAAATTTAAATGTTAGGGTTTAAGTATTTACTTGAAATTATAAATTTCATGGGTTTATTTATAAATATGTGGCTTTGTTAACCAGTGTATGCAAAAAGTTTCTTATAACTGTGAAGAAAGCAATTCATTAATTAATACAGTTAAAATATTTTGATTACAACCAAACTTCAAGTTGACAGTGTTTCTTACTATATCACATTTCAAAAATGTAATGCAGTTTTTATGTTTGAAAATGTAATATATCAGTAAAAGATGTGAGTTCTGTAGTTTTTGTTAGCAAGCATGAAATTGTGGCCTTTTTGGTTTATAGATGAGTACTTTATCAGGATTAGTATTCCTTTGAATTGCATTGGGAAACATCTAATGTCCTGAATTGGAACAGGGAGCTTACTCAAGCTATGTTCGTGTATGTGTGTAATAGACGACACAAGTAAGAAGTGTTAACATTACCCTTTATTCTCCACAATGTTACAGGTGTTTCCGCAATTCGGGATACAAAGACCAACCCCTTCTGGTCTGAACGTAAAAGAATAAGAATTACTAACTAACTAAATTTAAACGAGAGATAACTTTGAAAACTTTACAGAGATGAATAACCCTAAGATTGGCCTTTCAGATTAGTATGCATGTAGAACATAAACTGCAGAAAACTACAATACGTCTTAGATATCAAGAGGACTAAACCTCTGGCCTTAAAGGCAGACAACAACTGAGTGAAGGCATGCATAAAATAATGTGGCAATTAGGCTCACTCTCTTTCCTTCTAAGGCTCTTCTTGGTGAAAAGCCACAACTTAAATACTTAAGAGTTACAAACACGATTTGCATAAACAGATTAACGTGTTTATTCTGGCCGGAAGTTGAAAATAAAAGAGAACAGTAAAGTTTTAAAATAAAATAAATCCTCATAACTTTGTAGAGACATTAGGTATTTTTGAAAGTAGGCAGGATTAAAATTTGAAATGCCTTTGCCGGTAATCGAACCACGGACCTCTGGAATATGAGCAAAGCATGCACAGAGGCATGCCAAGAAGGTGGGAGAAATACCTTATAAATTCCCCCTTTTAAAGGGCAACTGGGGTTTTATGGGGGCACAATCGCCAAATCCTGGGTGTGGAGATTCATCATCCCCACCCTTTTAGTTCGGGTGCCATTGTAGAGACATTAGGTATTTTTGGAAGCAAGCAAGATGAAAAATTTGCAATGCCTTCGTCAGGAATCGAACCACGGACCTCTGGAATATGTACCCAGCGGGCAGACCACCACACCACGAAGGCATTCCAAGAAGGCGGGAGAAATACCTTATAACTTTAGCAAATGAATTAAAACCACACTCTGACTTGATGTGGTAAAAATGCTAAGCCTTTTCTGCAAGTAAGGAAAGTAGCTAAAAGTTAGAAGCATGGAAAGATGTGAAATATGAATTACTGTCTGAGGAGATTTACTCTAGAAACATACTTTATTAAATAATTATACCATTCGAAATAGAAATAAAGTGATTTCCTACCTTTTAAATTCTGTGTATACTTTGGCAGCAGAACCAAATTTTTGCACAATTTGATTTGCAAGCAAAGCTACATGCCTCCGTTAATATTTGCACAATTTCTATATATTCCGTAGCATTTAAAATTATCATTTAACTTTGAAAAATTGTATCAAAAAATACATTAAAACAAAACCTTTTTTTTTTTTCTTTTTTTTTTTTTTTCAGATCCTGTGACTATAATCACTTTAATTACCTTGACTCTATTTCTAAACTTTTACTATATTTGTATGAACACACAATCAATGTTAAAATACACTCTATGTGAAAAAATTCTGCTAGCTGAGTAGTTCCTTTATCATGATGGAACATGAATCAAAAAATGAAATGACGAAAAAGTGATTAAAACTGAAAATATATTATGTCATTTATTATGCAAATATAGGTCCAGAATCATAACACAAAGCCACTTCTGATAACAATACATGGGGATATTCAGTTTGGACTCGTACAATATACAAAGTGTAGTAGAGGAAATATGTTACTTTCAAGAACTGGTAATTTACACAAACAATTACTAGAACAAAATTTCAGATTTCTAAGAAAAAATCATAAGCACATCATTTTCATTTCTGAAATAAGTCTTGAACATTTACATAAATTAAATTTGAAACTGTTTACAGAGAATATATACATACCACAGAGCAAATTTCCAGTTAACTGCAAAACATGCTGATGAGCGACAAGGTCTAGGCATACAGAAGTATGGGTGATGAGAGATATTAAGTGACATAATATATCAGATGTCTGGGAAAATGTATCGTTCGATGCAGATTCTGACACTAGTCTAAAACAGGAATATAACACAAAAAAGTTGCCATTTAAAAACATTAATGTGAAGCAGCAAAAGGAAATTACATGTAACCATCAGCTGCAATTTAAGAAAAATAAGAATGTAATAAACCTGAAAATGTAAATAACACTACCACAATCTTATTTATAAAGCTGCAGCCCCAAAGCAAAATTTCTTACGAAGGCCCATTTCTTTTCATGTTGGTATATATTACTGATGGAAATTATATAAAATATTTCATGAAATAACTTAATGTTTTCATTTAGAGTTTTCTACATAAAAATATTTATTTCATATTTCAATATGTTTTCAGTTTATTATTTGTCTTCACTTCCCTTTGAAAAGTATGGAATAAAGAGAAGAATTTAAAATTAGGTGAAACAGCAACCTTCATTACTTGATTTTAATTTGATACAAACTTTATTTTGAATAAAATTCTTATGAATATTGAGGATGATTTGATCCTCCTCAAAATACATAAGAGTTTCATTCAAAATCTATACCAAATTAAGATTGTTTTCCTCCTAATTTACATTGACATGTTACTCTTCCATTTAATAAAGAGAACTTAAAAGAATTCTTAATGACTTTATTACAAGCACTTAATTAACTAAATTACAGAGAAAATACCAAAATATTAGATTAACAGTCAAATGTATGATTTATAATATTCAAAAGACCATCAAATTATTCATGACACAATGAGCTCCAAATATTGAGGCTGCTCAACAGCACTGAGTGATTCCAGAATTTAGAATCAGTATCACTAACTATCATTCGCAAATGAGAATCCAAGGTAATGGTCTAGTATCTGACTTTTGAAGAAAAACTAAAAAAAAAAAGGAAATTACAATTTTGCTCTTGTCTCTAATTTTACAATTAAAAACCCAGACATGAAAAAAATTACAGAAAATTTTATGTAATTTTTAAATATTATGGAAGAATCTGCAAGCCTCTGAAAAGTGGAGGCTCATGGCACAAGCCCCATTTGTCCTTGTGTCACGGCCCTGAACACCACTCCAAATCAAACAGAAAAATCATAACTATTAATCATCAATGCCAGTTCATCATTTGCAGTACACACTATACGATTTATGTTTTTGCCCCCAAGCATTGTGTAGCAAGTGTTGGAATAAATGCAATAAGATTTGCTGGAAGCCAATGCAATAAGAGCACTATTTTACAGCAAAACTTGGACGCCAAAGGGAAAATAAATGAGAGAGTTATACATGACAGCATGTGATAAGACGAAAAAAGGCAACAATTTATACAGTCAAAAGTCGTTAATCCGGACTCGTCGGGACTTCGACGATTCCGGATTATCGATTTTTCCGGATTATAGATCATCAGTTTAAATCTGGTAAAATGGCATGCAGAAATTATAAAATTAAAAATATGAAACCGTAATTTACAAAATAAAGAACAATTATGATCTAAAGGGTATCAAAATTTACAAAAAAAAGCTTAATATTTATTTGTTTACTTTATTAAACATTTCTTTCAATGTAAGTTGTTTCAGTTGCTTCGTTTTTTGTGATAATACATTCTCTTTAATTCTATAAAGAGACATAATTTCTTGTTCAGTTACAAAGTTCCGCTGTTCAAGTTCTATAATTGCTGTGTCGAGAATACCGACTAATTTGTCAATCGAAATTTTTTTGTTTTCAATAACCTATGTCACTTTCTTCGCTATCAGAAACAAATTATAATGACGAGGCATTTGATTTAAATCATATCAAAGACGGAGTACATCGAGATGAAATACTACATTGAGTAAGCAATTATAAGCCAAATAAAATAAAAACATCTGCCCTTAAGATAAGGATAGTGCTGACAAATCAACTTCCAATTCATTGCACACCGCCGCGGCGTTAAAGATAAACAAAGTTTAGATAAACAAAAAATATGCCTTTATCCATTTTTTTGCAGCAATTCCACTTTTTGTTTAATGGACTTTGAAAGATACTTTCGCTTTGTATATCCTTTATTAGTAAATATATATCGGGAATTCTATTTTACATAATCAAAAGTTCAAGCTTACTTTAATAAAATTGCTCTAACAGTCTGCAAAAAATAATAATCCGGATCCAATTCGAAGATTAAGGAACAACGCAATCTGCAACATTAACTGAAATAGATAATTAGATAATTTTAGCTTAGCTTATCCCGTCCGTTATACATTAAATGCGCATTCATAAACGTATTTTGCGCACGCGCACACGCAAATTCGCAGTGGTAAAGGTCTTACGCGCATGCGTCATTACGACGTATGCACAGAAAGTTTGTAGCTTTGAGGTCCGGATTATAGATCATTCCGGAGTATGGGTGTCTGAATTAACGACTTTTGACTGTATTTAAGTGCTTAGTTTCTGAACTCAGAAACAGAAAAGAAATTATAGGAACCTGAAAGGTTAGGTTATTAATTACGGCAAAGCCTCAAGGGCTATCTGCCTTAGGGGAGGGATGCCTTCATGGAGGACCTTCTGAGGGAAACTGGCTTGTATACACGTTACACATGGGGAAAAGCACAAAAACGCCCATGCAGCCAGCCCGTTCGCGGGATTCAAACCTCAGAGCGAACTACCAGTGTTCAGCAACTTTACCACTCAATTGCTGATGGGCCGGAACCTGAAAGAATTTCACATATGAACACTATCACATAGGACAAAATATTAACATGAAGTGACTTTTCTTGTATTTGTTTTCTTTCCTATTATATACAAGCAGCAACAGCTGTTCTTCCAGAGTGTATAACTGCATCATTCTGAAGGTATTAGTTTCTTTCCAAATTTTCTATTTTATTTTTCTATGAGCCCTATGGGTTTTAATAATTATGTAAATAAAAAATTCAGACATTCTGAATAACTAAACAAAATCCTCTTCCATCTTTACTCCCCTTTTAATGTGTGTTTCTATAAAAGTACAGTAGATAGACTAATTCCTGTCTAACTGCGGTTTTGGAATATAGAAAAGATTAAATATTACAAAGTTTTTGAAAGACCTGGTTCTAATTTCTACTGATCATTTAGTACTACTGTCTAATCAATCACCTTCAACTATAACGTAATTTGATGACAGTCTACCTTATTATGCCTTTTACTCATCATTCCTTTATATAAATAAACATACCCGACAGAAGGTTGGAGAAGCTGTGGAAATGGTTCACTACAAATATTTTCATACTTGAACGCTGAAAATATTGCATTCCATGTTTCAGGGAAGACAGTAACTAGGAATTCCTCTGATAACAAACACAATGCATGGCAGCAACCATACTACAAAAGAAAATAATTTTTATTAAAAACTACAATCTGCATGCAAATCAGTTAACAAAAACATTTTAAACACAATATGGCTTAGTTTGATTCTTAATTTACAAGAGACATTTGATAAGAATTAAATCTAACATGCTTTGAAAAATAGTAAACGTATTTTACTTTTTTGTTATCTTCTGCAACATATTTTTAACATCAGTGAATAGCAACCTGAATACCCAAGGGCAATCATAATCATAAAATCAAGAATTAATACCTTTAATGCAAGAATTTTGTAACCCTGTAAAATAAATGAGCACGGAAAATGTTTTCCATATATACTATTTCAAACCGATAGAAAAAGAAAAATTAGTTATTGTAAAATACTGTAGGTGCTAGGGAACAATGGAGCTGCGCCTCTATACAGGAAGCTTTAAAACATACAGTGTTGTTCTGTTCCTAAATGGCCATACATGTGAATTATTGCTCAGTCAATTCGTCTGCTCATAAGAACTAAAATGTCTTGAAACATACAAAAGAATAACTTTTCATGTACATTAAATCACAAAATACCTCTATGGGAATTCTTTACCACTAAAGAAGACTAAATAATAAATCAATAAAACATACAACAAAATTATGCATAAAAATATATCATCCCCTCCTAATTTATTAAAATACATAAGGCATGTAACAAAACGCAAAGTGAAAATACTTTGTTTCAGTTTCAAAAGAAACTATAAAATGCTCAATTTTGGTGATAATTGATTCCAAATTAAGTAAAATGGCATGTTACTGAAATTGTAGCTTGCTCCATGAATGTACAAATTGCAAACTCAGTGACTTACACATAAAAGATTGGAATCATAACGTCCTTATTACTCATAAACATATAATATAGCTAAAATACTCATTATTACTGATAGTATTTTATACGCATAAAACTGATTTATAGATACAAGTTCTTGTTTCTTGTTCATATTCCTACTGTACAAGTGATAAAAGTGAGAGCTCAGTTATCACTGAATGCATGTTGTTGACAGAAGCAAAAAGTACTATTATATACAGTAATAAAGGGAGAAAAACTATCTTACAAGCCTTTATTACAGCACATTTGGGGCAGATATTCATACAACGTAGGTTTAAATATCAGAAATTTTGCTTTTGAACAACAGCCTAGATCAGAATGCCCTCAAAATTGAAAGTTTTATTAAAAAGCCAAGCTAATCTAAGCTTCCTTGCCCTAAAATGATATGCTTCCCTTCCAGTTATATGTTCAGATGCTTATTGCAATGTGTTATGAATAGAACATCTACTTGTATTTCATTTTTAAGCAAATTATTTTAAGTTCATTTTTCAAGCATGTCAGAAAGTCCTTTTTTTTTTTTTTTTTTTTTTTTTTTTAAACTCAAATATGCAAACATACAACTGAAAACTACTGCCAAACTTCTCTGTTAATTCTGACTTTTGTCCAACACTAACTGTTAAAGAGAAAAAACATGAAAAGGGAGAAGGTGTGTCTATGAATTTAGACAATGAATAACACAATACAGAGTTCATGGTGTTTTAACACACTTTTAATGAAACATTCATCAGTACTTGAACCTTGTAAGAATAACTTTTTCCTTATGCGATAAAACCATAGAATGCTAAAGAGCTCAACCTGGATCCGTCTCCAGGTGAACGGGCTGACTGCATGGGTGGTTTTCCTTTCCTCATCGGTAACATGACTACAGGCCAGTTCCCCTTAAAAAGTCATCAAAGATGGCATTATTCCTCTTAAGAAAATAGCCCGCCGTACTGTGCTTTGGCCAATTCAGATGACTGATCGAACTACCTGTAATGCCATTAGGGGCTTAACCCATCAGCACACATGTTGGGGTAAAATCCACCCCACGTGTAGTCTTTTCTTAGAAAACAAGGGAAGGTTATACGTGACCTTTCAAGATCAAGGTTAGGAAGGAGTCGTCCAGAGGAATTTTCCCCGTGTCCTTGTGATTTTGTTTTCGTGGAAAGGATGTGCAATGGGATTGTAGCTATCCCGCACGTGTACTAACATTTCACTTCTAGAGAGACATTCATTGAAATGAGTGTGTACGAGCGAGAACAGTAACAACTGCGGGTTCTTTTCGCTAATGTTGAAACTGATAGTGGAATTGAAGAATCCGATTCTGAGTACGATAATATTTCTGAAAGTGCTCACGAAACTGATTCTGACTGATATGATGATTCCCATGATTTAGGGAGCATATCTTCTTTGATATCAGATGATTTTTATGTTTGAAAAGATGGAACAATTTGAAGCTAAAAAATTACCTTCTAAAAACGTTCAGACACGGCCGCACGATATACTGACACATTTACCTGGTGTCAAGAAAAGCTTTACAAATTTGAAAAATCCAGCTGAGTGCTTATTGCAAAATTTTAATGAAGAAATAATGGAAGATTTGGTGAAATCAACAAACATTTACATTTCATCAATAAGAAACAAATTCTCTAGAGAACGTGATGCACAAGAGATGAATGTAGCTGAATTGAAGGCATTGTTTTTCCTAATATATTACGCTGGAGTGCCGAGAGCAGCACTTCTCAAAGCAAAGATTTGTGGTCAGCAGACGGAAGCAGAATAACTGTTTTTCAAATAACAATGTCTATCAACCGATTCCACTTCCTGTTGAGGAAAAAATTATGAACATAGCGAAATGATGAAAAAATTTGATGAATTTGATGAAAAAAAATTATAAACATAGCGAAAGATAACAGCTAGACTTGCACTTATTAGAATTGTTTTGAAATGTTTATCAAAAACATACGAAAAATATATTTGTTATCTGAATATTGTACTATAGATGAAAAATTAGAACCCTTTGGAGAAAGGTGTTAATTCAGAAAATATATAAAAAGTAAGCTCCCAAGATATGGAATAAAAACTTTTGCTTTGTGCGATTTTCTTACATTTACACATACAGCCTAGAAATTTATGCAGGTTAGCAGCCTGTCGGACTATATAGACAATCAAATGTGGCATTGGATGTTGTACAAAGACTTATTGCACCCATAAGTGGCACTGAAAGAAATATAACTATCGACAATTGGTACATGAGCATTCCTTTGGCCAATGAATTATTGAAAAAGCACGAATTGACATATTTTGGTACACTTAAAAAAAAAAGTGTGAAATTCCAGAAGAATTTCTGCCAAATAATCTGTACTGCTTCTGTACTCTTCGCGTTTTGGGTTTAGAGGTAAAGAATTAACTCTTACTACATATGACACGAACAAATAATACATTATACATACTTTGTAACACAAAATATAACACGTTACTTACATGAATAAAAATACAAAATAATACAAACCCTTTCGTATTTTCTTAAAACAGACAGAGAAATTTTAAACACAATCAATATATAAATTCATTTCGTTTACAGATACATATTTTATGAAATTTGACAATTTCAATTTAATCACTGTATTTTTACATAGATAATTTGGAGTGTTAAATTTAGCAATATCTGGAATAAATCTTACAATAATATTTTTCATAGAAGAGTGTCTAAATAACAGGTGCTTAAGATTGACATTACTCATGTCACAAGGACAGGCACAATTTTTAATCGAAAACTTATAATAAAGTGGAAAATGTCCATGATCGGTTAAGGCCTGGTTAAGATACCTGTCACTTAAGCATCTTATCTCACTTACAACTGAGATTAAATTATAAGTGAATCTTAATCTTCCCTTAGAATCTAGATGATTCCACTTTACTTGATAAAGACTCAAACTTCTTCTTTTCAACAAGGATTTCAAACTATCAACAGAAGTCTTTAGTTCAAAATCAACGATTTGATTTTCAGTGGCAGCCTTTGCCAATCTATCTGCTAACTCGTTACCAATAGTTCCAGTAGGACTTCTCATTCAGAAGAGTTTAATATTTCTGAAAGTGCTTAGAAAAATGAGAATATCTTTTATCTGTTTTATTTAATCATTTACTAGGACAAATGTCCGATTGCACTCTGGAAGTCACTATACATTTCTACACGATCTTGAGTAAAATTAGAAATAAGCCAATATAAGGCCTCCCACAGGGTCTCTAACTCTGCCCGACAGAGGCATTGTCAGAAAGTTGTAGTTTCTTGTGTGAGAACACGCAAAAGGCTGCCCCCACATGACCATTCAATTAAGATCTGTCTGTAAAAACAGTGTAGCCTGTCATATTCAGGAGGCCTTTATGCCAGTTCAACCTTTTTTTAACAAAGCCGAATGATAGTTTAATCCCTTACCTAAGTCGAAATCTCTAGCTGAGAAGACCTCACCGAAGCAATCGAAAGTTTCATTACCAGCTTTTAATTTAAAGACAGCATATTCTTTTCTGCTAAAATATCGATTGGAACACACCCAGCCAAAATTTGAAGAACTACTATCAAAACAGTTCTAAAACACTTGGTAATCCCCAAGAGAGCAATTCTTTGAATTTTCCAAATTTTGTTCCACCATTCGGACAGATATAGTCCACCATATGCCACATGCATACAACATCTTTTTCTCTATAGCTCTTTTATGTAGACTCTTAAGAACTTTACCTTGGCGATTCATTTTATTAAGTTTATTAAGAATGCGAGTGCATTCAACCTTTATTGAATCTAGGTGTGGTACAAAAGTGAGCTTTTCATTGATCGTAATGCCCAAATATTTGACAGTCTTAGAAACTCTAATTCGTTGATTATCAACACTCAAAAGAAAGCTCTTCTTTGGATCAAATTTAAGTTTAACATGGAAAGATCACTTCTCGAATTCTTAAGTGGCAAAACTTAAAGCATTATCAATAGAACACTTCCCATGGGCAGTAAAATGAAATCATCATCAGCATAAGCTTCTACACTGACATTTTGTAGTAAAGTTATATTAGCAATAATATTCCACAAAAAAGGACCATATATAACCCCTTTGGTAATTTCTATGATGCCACTTATTACCATCATTTCATGTCTTTTAATAAAATTGGCCACCAAACGTTACTG